AACACTGAACTCAAACTCATGAAATTTATGTAGTTGTTCTAGACACAGGGATTCTCAACTTTCCTCCATCATTAACTCCCTCGGCTTGATGTATTTCTCCATATACCCGCCTTCCATACAAAAAAATTATCGCCATCATAAAGGGACAGAAAAACGAGGTCAGAAAAAATAAATACCCCTTACCATGTAATTTTTTATCCCCAAGGGGTAAATTTACCCCTGGTTAAGAATCACTGTTCTAGAGGAATAACTCGCAATACCGTGGCTGAAACAATTCATAACCCATAAATTAAAAACGAAAATAAATACATTAAGAAGACTCTCGGTGACTGTCCATGACGGACCGAAATGTTGTGGGGGTTTCATGTTCAGTTTGTGGGGTTGTGAATTATTTTTGCTACGGCATTAACTTTCCGGTGTAAGTCCATGGATTTCCCGAGCTGTAAAATTGTATATTAGTTAGGAATCAGATATTTCTGTACTGCTTCTCTCCCTTTCCCCACATGCCACAGCTGGGACAGGCTGTGGGAGTGAGTATAACAGAGGTTGGGGTAGGGATGTGTCGGGAGACCGCCAGTGAGAGTTGCAAAAGTGGATGCTGGGCGCAAGCGTCCCTCAGTGGACGCTTTACAGTGGTGGACGCCAATACCTCTGCGGTGGTGGGGCCTTGGTTAGACGTCCACACCGGCTGTGGTTGTCGTGAAGGGACACAAGAGGACACCTGGACTATATGCACCGCTAACACTTGTCTCAACAGCGGGCGCTGCCTCCCGACACCCACTGGCACAAGGTGAGGTTTTGGAACCTCTTCTGTTGTAAGTGCTGCTACGGTATTGTTGTTTACTTGTTTACACATAGCATAACCACTACTAACGAAGACTTAGATATAGGAACTAAGAACATTTTCTCTTTGCATTTACAGTTAGAAAGCTGCTAGCCTATTTCAGTTCATTTCATAACTAATCACTGTCTAAGCCTAAGGTATAATGTCATCCCAAACCTCCAGATACAAATTTACTACTAATTGAACAAGATCAGCTGCTGTAAGATGACAGCTTACACACATGTTTTCCCCTCAGGTTTTTGCTTTGTATTACTTCGTTGCTTGTGTTCCACAGTGGTTATTCTTCTTATGTAAGTAGCGTTAGTACGTAACAATGATAGCTTCAAGGTGTTGCTTGCTGGTGGTGCCAATCAGTACACACCTCGTGTGGTACACTAGTAAATACATCAGTCTATCAAACAACTATCGGAGGATGGGCTTGTAGTTTATAGGGTGAGGTAATCGTCATGGTGTCGCTAAGCGTGGTGTTTGCCTCCTTGATTGTATGGAGACATCACTAAGTGCTAAATGGCCCATGCAGATTTAGTAATTAACGTGATAATAATTAGATAACTAGAGTGAGGGAACGTTAGCTTGCGTGGTCACAGCAGTGAGGTGTTGGCAGTACCTCAAACACTGCCATGAAAGATTCGTTAAGTCTGACCTGCTGCAACAAATGTCTTGGTGACTTCTACGCTAATTTTACACTGCGCATAGCTGCTCCAGACTGCTCCGCAGGGCGTTTATGGATAGATGATCAGCAGATCCTTTCCCAGTGTGTCTATTAATCCCCAGCATCCAAACCAATCCTGAAAACTTACCTTTTTTTCCCTCATCAATTCTATGATTCATCTCGTCTTTCATAGACCCATCTGCTGACAAGTCCACTCCAAAATATCTGAATACATTCACTTTCTCCACACCCCCTCCGTCCATTCTGATGTCCAATCTCCAATCCCCAGCGTTTCTCTAATATTCAACATCCCTCCAATTCCCTAGCGCTCCCACCGACTATCATCAACTTTTTAATTATATTTTTTTAACATTTGTAGTTCGTACTTGCAAGATCCGTTCAAACTTCGCCCATCCATCATGAGAATGCTTTAAAAATATTAAAAGGTAGAGATGGTGAAATTAACGGCGGCTAATTAGCCGCAAGGAGCCAGTAATTGCAGCCTGAGCTGAAGGAGAAACAGGGAGAGGACATGGTCACAATGTACCAGATACCAAGAGGGTACATTAGGAAAGGCAGATATACACTATTTGCAAGGAATGAACATGAGACATAGCTGAATAACAGGACATCAGTAAATACGTCGGTCTGAAGGTGATTAAGAAATGGATCAATCTGAGAGGGAGAGAGAGAGAGAGAGAGAGAGAGAGAGAGAGAGAGAGAGAGACCATACGATAGTCATAACACCATAGCTCTAATTTCTACGTAGATTATTCTAGTTTCAGAGCCCTGATCACCTCCATATACACCCAACTTGCATTCAAAACAGCACGCTAATTACTGTTTCAGATGTGTTTGTCCCTATGGCACCCAGGGTTCACGCTGTAAGATCCTCAGCAGATACTTCGAAGGTGGAGGTGGTGGTGGTGGCGGCGGCACTTCTGGGGATGGCAGGGAGGGCAAGACTGTTGCTGGAGGCTGGGCCTGGGTGTCCTCCCTGCCATCCTGTACGGAGGTTCACCTCAGCCTCGAGTTCCTCACGAGCTCCGAGGATGGCACACTCCTGTACTCAGGTCCAGATAACTTACCCCCTGTCCTAGGAGCTCCTAATGACGTGGTGGCTCTGGAACTGAGAGCAGGTCATCCCTCCCTTCTGCTGGACCTAGGAGCTGGCCCTGCCTCCCTCACCCTCAACGCCTCCTACTCCCTAGCAGACAACACCTGGCATAGACTTGACCTCATCTGGAAAGACGAGGTGAGAGAGATGATACAGCTGGCTGTTCTGCCATCAGTTGCGTTACATAATCATTGGCTTATCCTAATAATTATCTGTAGTATTCATTTTGATAACATTGTATATCTAGATAACACCACCAAATTATTATTCAGAACCGAGGACCGGGGTTGTGTGTGTAGGGGGGGGATGCTGTAATCAGGTTTGGTTCTAGAATGCAGATTGTAGCTCCTATTGCATGAATCGTGAGCACCTCACAAGAATCAGGACTCCTTTTTTTGAAAGGTAACTTAACCAGACACTTTTTTGCCAGGTGTCTTTCCTTTTTGTTCGCTTTCTTCAGTGCTCCACCATGAGAATACATCACTGGCCTGTCCTAAAACCCGCACATCTGGAGAACGCAAATTATTAGAGAGAATAACGTGTCCTCTCTGCTGAAAGTACAGTACACATGAAGGGAAATACTCCACACTAAAGTATCGAGCTAGAGAGTGTTATGTTATGTTATGTTTTGTATATAGACACTGATCCAGGACTAACTTACGCGTCTTCACACTATTTTTTAATCCTGAACGATTTACGGTAATTAATTAATTGAAATTAGGTTGATGACTTCCGTAGAGTTATTTCATGAACAGTAACGTACTACTCACGTCTTACCCGTACTAACATCATACTTGTACACTACTAACATCATCCTTGTACACTACTAACATCATCCTTGTACACTACTAACATCATCCTTGTACACTACTATCATCATCCTTGTACACTACTAACATCATCCTTGTACACTACTAACATCATCCTTGTACACTACTAACATTATCCTTGTACACTACTACATATCCTTGTACACTACTAACATCATCCTTGTACACTACTAACATCATCCTTGTACACTACTAACATCATTCTTGTACACTACTAACATCATCCTTGTACACTACTAACATCATCCTTGTACACTACTAACATTATCCTTGTACACTACTAACATCCTTGTACACTACTAACATCATCCTTGTACACTACTAACATCATCCTTGTACACTACTAACATCATCTTGTACACTACTAACATCATCCTTGTACACTACTAACATCATCCTTGTACACTACTAACATCATCCTTGTACACTACTAACATCATCCTTGTACACTACTAACATCATCCTTATATACTACTAACATCATCCTTGTACACTACTAACATCATCCTTGTACACTACTAACATCATCCTTGTACACTACTAACATCATCCTTATATACTACTAACATCATCCCTGTATACTACTCACATTATCCCAGTATACTACCAACATTTTTGTATACTACTAACATCAACCCTATATACTACTAGCATCATCCCTATACACTACTAACATCATCCCTGTATAATATTAACATCTTCCCTGTATACTACTAACACCATACCTGTATACTACTCACATTATCCTAGTATACTAATAACATCTTTGTATACTACTAACACCATACCTGTATACTAGTAACATCATCCCTACATACTACTAACACCATACCTGTATACTACTAATATCATCCCTACATACTACTAACACCATATCTGTATACTACTAACATCATCCCTGTATACTACTAACATCATCCCTACATACTACTAACATCATCCCTACATACTACTAACACCATATCTGTATACTACTAACATCATCCCTGTATACTACTAACATCATCCCTACATACTACTAACACCATACCTGTATACTGCTAACATCATCCCTGTATACTACTCACAGCTGGTGGAGATGATAGTCGACCTGTGTTCTGGAGGCAGCATAGATGGCCCCCTCGCCGCTCCCAAGACATCCGCACTCAACGCTTCTACTGTGCCCACGCCCTCGCCGCCCATACCCCCGGATGCTCACACGTGCCGGGGAGCTGCCAGGTTGCCCAGTGGTGCCCACATGCTGAATGCTGCCCAGCCTCTCCAGGTGGGCGGACTGGCCCACCCGGCCCCCGCCCACGGGGTGTATGGCTGGCCAGAGCCTCTCATGGCTCGTCCCTTCCATGGCTGTGTCAGGAACCTTAGAGTTAATGGAGAGGTGAGTGTGAGAGAGAGAAGAAAGAGAAGAGAGAGAGAGAGAGAGAGAGAGAGAGAGAGAGAGAGAGAGAGAGAGAGCGGCAGATTCCATTTCCCTTACTAATGGAGATCTCAGACTGAGATCTCCATTATATATATATATATATATATATATATATATATATATATATATATATATATATATATATATAATATGTCGTGCCGAATATGTAAAACTGGTCAATTGGCAAGAACTCATTTAAAATTAAGTCCTTTCTGAAATTTTCTCTTATACGTTTAAAGGTATATTTTTTTCATTAATGTTAATGTAAAAAATTTTTAATTTTGCACTAAAAGGATCTTAGAAAACTTACCTAACCTTATTATAACAAGAACAATTTATTTTAGCCTAACCCAACTAAATATATTTTCAATACGTTTACAATAATTTAATACTAAACAAACACAATCAAATATATTTATTTCGTTAGGTTCAGAATGATTTTGGCGAAATTATTGCATACACAAATTTTCACTTGTCTTATATGGCAAGACGAGCGTTGCTATTTAAGCCAAGATCGCAAGTTCTGCCTATTCGGCACGACATATATATATATATATATATATATATATAATATATATATATATATAATATATATATATATATGTTGTGTGTGTGTGTGTGTGTGTGTGTGTGTGGTGTGTGTGTGTGTGTGTGTGTGTGTGTGTGTGTTCGTGTGTGTGTGTGTGTGTTCACCTAATTATGGGTGCAGGCGTTGAGTCTGAGCTCCCGGAGCCGCTATTGAACCTTGTCATCTTTATTCTTAAAGCTTTGTATGGATTCTCCCTCAACCACTTCATACTACTCTCCTCCTCCTCCTCTTCTTCTTCTTCCTCCTCATATCCCACCTCATATTGTCTCTCTCTCCTGGTGCAGCTAGTAGACCTGGGAAGAGAAGTGTTGAGCCAGCGCAGTGTGCCCGGGTGTCCCTCCGCGGATTGTGCATCCAGCGGCCTTAACTGTGGCGTCCACGGCAGGTAGGTAGCAGTTTGCTAACCCTCCCCCCCCCCCCGTGTTGCTTCTGTCATAGTGTTGCCACTAACAACCTCCTGTAAGTGTTACTCTCTCATAAGTGACCCTCTAGAAAGTGACACCCTCTCACAAGTGACTCCTCATACGTGACTCCTTCTCATAGGTGGCACCGTCTCCCTTTCTCCCTCCTCCACTAGGTGCCAAGGCTCTCCAGGTTACCTGAGGTGTGAGTGCTTACCTGGTTGGACGGGTGAGGACTGTGCCACACCCACTACACCCGCAGCCTTCCAGATGAACAGCTACGTCAAGTTAGCTCTCTCCTTCACACCCCTGGCTTACACCACCACCGTCCACCTCAGGTGAGTCTCCTTCACACCCCTAGCTTACACCACCACCGTCCACCTCAGGCGAGTCTCCATCACACCCCTGGCTTACACCACCACCGTCCACCTAAGGTTATTACGCAACATGGAGGTCTGACGCTCTTCACCGTCTCCGAACTCAAGGAGGTTTGTCCGTGCTACTAGCGAGAGGTTTTCCTAAGGCAAGGTTCCCCTCCCCTCCCTGGCCATATTTTTGTGCATCACGTATATTATAGCAGTGGATGGTGTGGTCAGTGATATTCCTGACGGTGTCAAGGCCTCTTGTATGTGGACGATCTTTCAATGTACTGCACGGCATCTGCTTCTGTGGTAGCCTGTGTCACTAACTTTAAGTGGCAGTAGAGAACATCACAGAAGTGGGCTACTTTTATGATATGGTGCTTCCCTATACGTAGCAGGAGATATTTTTGGGGGTGATATTTGACCGTTGCTTGACGTGGGCTACTCGATTAATGAAGCTCACACGGAATGCTCAGTGGATGCTACACATTAAAGTGCCGGTTCACCACACCTAGGGGGCGGATCGGCTGACAGTGATCTGCCAGGCTGCAGTATCACTGATAGATCTACTCCTAGGCCATTTCTTCCCTGCTGTACTTGATGAACCCCGCTCATTACCTAGGCATCCAGCTTTACACGGGTCTATACCGTACATATCCTTTTGAGAGCCTCTATGTTGAGTCTGGCGAGCTTCTCCTGGGTCTGCGCCATGAGGTGCTAAGCTTGCGCTACCTGTTTTGGGTTGGTGTACTCCTAGCAACCGTGCTTATACTGCGGTATATATGAGGAAAGGGGAGAAGGGAAGCCCTTTGTTGGTCGTGCAACGTTTCCTCTGTCGTTAGGCGTTCGGATACGTGCCCTTCTTGGATTCAAGCCTTAGTGTGTCTGCAGTCAGATTTTTTATGTTTAATGTAAGCACTAAACCCTTATGGAGCATACAAAGCCTGTCAAATACGATTCAATCAGATTTAACCCCATATGCAGATACATTTTCTCCAGACACAGACACAGGTCTTTACTGACGGCTGGTGATGGAGGTGGCATTATTGTGATCGCTGGTGAGGACTCATGTTGTCTACACTTACCAAGAGAATCCTCTGTGTTCACTGTAAAGCTCAACACAATCCTTGCTGCCATTGTCTTGATAGCTGGTTTAGTTCTCGGTTCACTGTGTACTCAGATTCCCGGTTTGCTCTGTCTGCCCTGGCCCAGTACATTTCTGTCCACCCTGTGGTCCAAAAGATCCAAGTGTGTTAGCTCGACCACAAACACACGGAGTTCTGTTGGCATTCAGGTCATGTTGGTGTCCCACGAAATAAACAGGTAGCTGTCAGGGAGGAAAGTTGTTGTTGTAAGAAAACACACTACTGTAGAATTTTGCCTCACAGTGACTTCATGACTTCATGAGATGTCTTCAGTAAACGGTGGCCTCGGGAGTCTTTGGGCATTATTAATTTAATGGGGGGTTTTAATAGATGCTGCGTATTTTAGCATGGCATGATATTATTTGTTTTGAGCGCTTTATTCATTTTCGTAGCTTCTCTTATTTATTATGTTATTGTTGGGTGGTGGTGTGTGTGTGTGTGTGTGTGTGTTGTGTCTTGTATATATTTTTTACTGGTATGAGCGCTGAGTGACCTACATGGTCAAAGTGCTCTGGAACTATCACAACTACTACTACTACTACCACCACTACTACTACTACCACCACTACTACTACTACCACCACTACTACTACTACCCCTAACGCTACAACCACTACCCCACCACCGTCCACCTCGCATGACGTGATTCTTTTGTTTCAGTTTCATACGAGGGTTGAGATACACTTTACTATATATATCCTTTCATCAGCCCACATATATGTACCTATGGAAATATTTTCCTACAACGTATTGGGTATATCTGCATTGCTTACACACACACACGCACACACACACACACACACACACACACACACACACACACACACACACACACACACACACACACACACACACACCAGTTTCAGTATACACTGATTTAATGTACTTTTCAATCAATCCCAACTGGTCAGCTGATAGCCAATACTAACAGTGGCTGGTGGATGCTAGTAGTGGTCGTGAAGGTAGTGGTGGTAGTCGTAGCAGTAGTGGTGGATGCTAGTGGTGGCGACATGACACGTAAATTCTTTTCTTTAAATAACATTTTCTTTCAACGTTTTTCCTCGTTGTCCTCCTTCAGGTTTCGCACGTGGAGGAGGAAAGGTGAGCTGGTGGTGCTGTCCTCCCAACACGGTCGAGACACCTTTGCCGTGCAACTGGTACAAGGTCGACTGTGTGTGGTGCTGCAGCTGCACCCAGACCCTCCCAGGTCCTTGTGTCTCGCCCGGGCCCAGCTCACAGACGGTCGCTGGCATGCGGTCACTGCCTCCAGGTACAGTCTGCCTCACTGTCTCAGCTCACAGACGGTCGCTGGCATGCGGTCACTGCCTCCAGGTACAGTCTGCCTCACTGTCTCAGCTCACAGACGGTCGCTGGCATGCGGTCACTGCCTCCAGGTACTGTCTGCCTCACTGTCTCAGCTCACAAACGGTCGCTGGCATAAGGTCGCTGCCTCAGGTACGATTGCTATCATATGGTCGCTTCCTCTTAACTTGGTTAAGGCGTCGTCTTCCTCTCTTGAAATCATTATTCTTAAACTCATAGTTCCTGGACTCAGCATTCCTATTAAACTCAGAATTCTTATTTGCATCATTCTTAAATGCATAATTCTTGAACGAGTCTTATATAAAGACGACATTCTTTAATGCGTCATCCTTAACCATTCTTAAGCCCATCATTCTTAAATGCATCGTTCTTAAAAGCGTGTTATTTTTATTACAGGTTTATACTCAGGGTTTACAGTAAAATTAATTGCGTATTTAAAGAAAAATGATGCCTAAACTTATGGATTTTCATTCATTTTCATTTATTTTCATTGAAAAATGAGCGAAATGTAAGAATTCATAGAAAATGAGAAAACTTGTTTACATTCTCGATTATAATTGGTTGATAAAAACAGCTGCCACTACACACCTCGGTGGTGACAGTGTTACTAGGGTGTGACGGCGGTCTGTGTGTGGCAGTGTGTTACGGTGGTGTGTGTGTTACGGTGGTATGTTGCAGACACGGCTCGGCGACCATCTTGACAGCAGATGACGGGGAAGGGGAGTTATACAATGCCTCTGTCTCGCTGGAGGGACGGCAGCTGCTGGAGGTAGACAAGCAGGAGGGTGTCCATGTAGGAGGCTCCCCGGAGTACATGGGTGTCAGCGTCTTCAAGATCCACGGAGATTACCGTGACGGTAAGAGTCCGTTACTGTGACGTAATAACAATAATAGTAGTATTAACTAAGATGCAGAAGTCTTAACTTACTGTGATCTCTTAGTGTTAGCTTACTGCGATCTCTTAATGTTAGATTACTGTGATCTCTTAGTGTTAGCTTACTGTGATCTCTTAGTGCTAGCTTACTGCGATCGCTTAGTGTTAGCTTACTGTGATCTCTTAGTGCTAGCTTACTGCGATCGCGTAGTGTTAGCTTACTGCGATCTCTTAATATTAGATTACTGTGATCTTAGTGTTATCTCGTCAGGCTTGGACTGGAAGTAACAGACAGGGAATAACAACTAGCGGATGATCCATCATCTCCGGCCTCATCAATCACTCAACTATCCTCTGGCTGTTTGTAACATTACACACGTTGAAAGGCGAGCTGCTGGCCAGGAAAACACCATCATTTTACTTGTTGTAGATACACAAAGATTATGTTAAGTTACAGCTCAAGAAATTTTGTTCACATCACATATATCACAATGTCGTTGATGAAACAATTCACAACTCAGCAACAATTCTGGGGCTAAAACATTTCACAATTCACCTACAGAACAGAGGCTGGAGCATATCACAGTTACCCCCACAGATTAACTTCTAACTTTCCGTACCGTACTTTATTTTTTTCACTAGCGGTATAATAATGGTTTTAAGAAGGATCGAAGAGCCGTCTAGCTTTTCTAAACTGTGAATTTATATTTATATCGTTCAACACTGTTCTCTCGTTAATCGCGTACATTTGTGCAGAAAATTTTGTGGGTGTTGTCAGCAGCTACCCAGTGAGTGTTGTGGTTGAGAAATCTAACATGATGGAAGAGAGAAAAAAGCTTTTAGTGCATTTGCCAGTCTGAACATTTCACTTCTCTTCCGCAGGATGTATTGACGACGTGAGAATTTCCGGAAGGAGCGTCCCGCTGCCTCCTGCCGTCAACAACACCTCCTGGGGCCAGGCCAGTATGTTTAAAGGCGTGGAGAAGGGCTGTAATGCACCTTCAGCCTGCACTAACGTCACCTGCAGAGCTCCTCTCACCTGCGTCGACACCTGGAGGTCCTACCACTGCGGGTGAGTCCTGTTTAACCCTCTCGCTCAACTTCGTTATATTCTCCGTCGGGTTACAAGGCTTAACCCACAGAATCTTAAGTTTGGGATTGTATTCAGAAACGCATTAAGCAGGGTAACTTTTAGTCTATTTTATACACAGTACAGCGTTATCACGATCTGTGGGGCCTCACTCATCATCATCCACGGTGGGGTTTATTATTCATAGTGGTACTTTATGATCCACAGTGGGGCTTTCATCATACTTGATAGACACTTAAATCCACTTAGTCACTTTTAAGGCAGTTAAAGTATCTGAATTAACACTTGTTAGTTTACTCCATTATCTTTCAACTATTTTTCTAGTATTGCATTTTGTGAACTAGAATAAGTATACATAAAGCCCCGAGTATTAATTTATTTCCTCTTACAAGAATTCTTGATGAGTTAAAATTTACCACTTGCTGTTGTTTTGGCAACAAGTGCACAGTTGTTGAGTGGGTTAAGAGGCCGCCAACGTTCCAGCACTTTTCTTCGTCTACTAATTGGTTAGGCAGAAATTGCTCATGTCATCAAAGTGAACATTTCTGATGTGCGCATCGCATGCGTTACCTAAACTATGCAGCATGCGCTGTGTAACTGCACAGAGAGCTTAATCATGAACCAATAGTTAAATAATTTCCATTCCAAAGCCCAATCAACAAAATACATTTAGCTTGATATTTCTTACTGTGACCTTGATTCTTAACTTGTGGTATTTTACTAGAGCTGAAAATCCACTTCTTGAACTTTTCAAAATGTGAACTTTTCAAAATGTGAACTTTTCAAAATGTGAACTTTTCAAAATGTGAACTTTTCAAAATGTGAACTTTTCAAAATGTGAACTTTTCAAAATGTGAACTTTTCAAAATGTGAACTTTTCAAAATGTGAACTTTTCAATGACTTTTCAAAATGTGAACTTTTCAAAATGTGAACTTTTCAAAATGTGAACTCTTCAAAATGTGAACTCTTCAAATTGAACACTTCAAAATGTGAACACTTCAAAATGTGAACTTTTCAAAATGTGAACTTTTCAAAATGTGAACTTTTCAAAATGTGAACTTTTCAAAATGTGAACTTTTCAAAATGTGAACTTTTCAAAATGTGAACACTTCAAAATGTGAACACTTCAGAATGTGAACTCTTCAAAATGTGAACTCTTCAAAATGTGAACTCTTCAAAATGTGAACTCTTCAAAATGTGAACTCTTCAAAATGTGAACTCTTCAAAATGTGAACTCTTCAAAATGTGAACACTTCAATGAGGAAAGATAAACTCTTCATTTTATCTAATGTTCAGACGTGCTGGGTTGAGGTAATAGACCCTCCAAATTATTTTATTCTGGAATACGTGAGGATCTTCCATCCAAAGTTTGTTAACGCTAACTACCAGACTTTAAAAACTTGTACGGGAAATGTTGGCTGAACACAGTCATGGTTGGCTGTTGTATGAATACTCTAGCCTCTCGTGTACAGCACCGTAACTTACCAATGCTGAAGCATTAACATTATTGAATGAATTCTAACTTTTAAATATAATATCAAATTTTTGTGAGCTATCGATTGCAGGGTGTTGGAGGCTCGATCCTCCGTTTACTAATTACATTATACAAACTCTACTCTCACGTCCAGTGGGATCCTACGTTTGTTAAATAAACCTGCATTTTCTGTTGCTCATTCTTTCCCTCAGATGACTGTAACAACTCATTACACGAGTAAATTATCTTTAATTGATAATTGAGAGTGTATTTAATGCTTGTAGCGAAGGAGCGTAAACTTAGTTAACTGCAGTGTTTAGCACGGAATATGTCCCAGAATTACAAAGAAAGACATAATATACATTGTTTTGCTTTGTGTTTATGGTCATCTGAAACTGGGAAATGAGTGCAGAGCCTTACCATTGTTTTGGTACTGTGCGTGTGTTAACTGTTAAGTTGTAGCTCCGACCACTGGGTCACTTACGTTACCTGACGGTGTATTTATGTTCAGCTATTGTGCTGTTTTCCAATGTTCACAACTGTGTATACGAGCGTCCCTCCAACTCCCACCTTTTCTTTTAGACTATATTTTTTTTCCTCTGGCTTCCGGCGCTGAATGGCACACGGGATTAAAGGTTATTTTTCGAATAAAATGACTAATATATTTCCTTACTGAGTTGAGTACAGCGGGTTTTAAAGCTTGATAAAATGTCTTCAATTATTCATTGAATATGCTTTCAACATTTTTACAATATTTTTATATCCAAGATCTTTATTTTGTGACCACTGTTTGTTGTGTTGTTTGCGAGTACCTCCGTCTTGCTAGATGTACGACATTGTTTACGGTTGATTTTGCACTGCCAGATGTACGGCATTGTTTGTGGGGGTGCCTCTGCCCTGCCAGATGTACGACATTGTTTACAGTTGATTTTGTGCTGCCAGATGTACGGCATTGTTTGTGGGGGGGGGTCCCTCTGTCCTGCCAGATGTACGACATTGTTTACGATTGATTTTGTGCTGCCAGATGAATGAAATTGTTTGCGGTTTAGCTACGTCCAGTCTGCTACTCGTCACTGTTTACTCTTTGTGTCATGCGTGACCTTTGTCGTATTTATTTTCTATGAGCTTACGTTAAGTGAGTGTATGTTTAAGTGTACGTTTCTGTGAATGTTTCTGTGAGTGTATGTTTTGGTGAGTGTTTCTGTGACTGTATATTTCTGTGACTATGTTTGTGACTGTTTCTGTGAGCGTATGTTTCTGTGAGTGTATGTTTATATGAGTGTATGTTTATATGAGTGTATGTTTCTGTGAGTGTGTGATTATAGGAGTGTATGCTTCTGTGTTTCAGAGAGTTAAGTGCGGTGTAGTCAGCTCGTGGCCTGGCTGACAGTGGTAGTCAGCTCGTGGCCTGGCTGACAGTGGTAGTCAGCTCGTGGCCTGGCTGACAGTGGTAGTCAGCTCGTGGCCTGGCTGACATTGGTAGTCAGCTCGTGGCTGGCTGACAGTGGTAGTCAGCTCGTGGCCTGGCTGACAGTGGTAGTCAGCTCGTGGCCTGGCTGACAGTGGTAGTCAGCTCGTGGCCTGGCTGACAGTGGTAGTCAGCTCGTGGCCTGACTGACAGTGGTAGTCAGCTCGTGGACTGACTGACAGTGGTAGTCAGCTCGTGGACTGACTGACAATGGTAGTCAGCTCGTGGACTGACTGACAATGGTAGTCAGCTCGTGGCCTGACTGACAGTGGTAGTCAGCTCGTGGTCTGACTGACAACGGGTAACATTCTGTAATACCTAGTACACACAACCTTGGGTCAAGTCACCTATCGTGCTCGGGTAAGGGAGAGAATCCGCTGATTCACCTAGTCTACTGCAACAAACACAGAGGCCCGTTTGTTGCAACAAACACACGGTATTATCTGCTCCACCTTTGTATCGTGCTATATATGACTGCAACGCCTGACTGTGCATGTTTTCCTGCATTGCATAGTAGTTGTTAATGTTGCACATACGTTTGCTAAGTTGCCAAGTACCATTCATTTGGTGGGTAATTACCTTTTTTGTAGTTTCAGGAGCAGAGCTATGCTCTTGGTGTGCCGTTTTCTATATATATATATATATATATATATATATATACACAGTAGACCGTCGTTTAACACGGTAGTTAAGTTCCTGAAAAATGCCGTGTTAGACAAACTGAAGAACTTATGGGAAAAATAGGGTTACGTTCCTGGGAGCCCCCAAAAAGCCAAACAACTTTTTTTTAGGCCTCCAGATCTTACAAAAATAAAAGGAATATGTAATTGTAGTTCATTGTTGTGATGTATTATGTTGTTTTTACTGCTTAAGACTACAAGTATTTCTTACCTTAAATTGTGGATGCTGGTGTTTGTTGATGATTGTGAAGAGAGTGGAGAGAGATGCTGTGGTCCTACTGGGCTGAGGTGGATGGTAGAGGTTCTGGTACTGAAGTTGATGGTTGTGCTGAGTGTGCATAAATCAGTCAAGTCAGTCCGTCAACTCAGTAAGTCAAGTAAGTCAGTCACTCAGTACATCAGCCAGTCAAGTCATTCATTCCGTCAGTCAAGTCATTCATTCAGTCAGTCAAGTCAATCAGTCAGTCAAGTCAATCAGTCAGTCAAGTCAGTCAGTAAAGTCAATCAGTCAAGTCAGACAGTCGTCACACAAACTCATATTTACCTCATTCTTTTGGTGTACAAAATGACGCTTCATTCCCGCTACAGGCTATCTCTTGTCTAATATATCTATTTTCTTTGTTAATTCAAAGAATTAAAAGCTTAAACCTTTTCTTGCAACTTTCAGCAACACTTGTATGCCTACTGGGTGCCATGATTGCTTGGCAGATTTAAGATATGACAGTTAATATGTACTAAACAAACACAGGACCTACTGGCACAAATTCGTCCAACACATGTATAAACCGAACTGAAGGCTGGGAGGGTGGTGGGGTGGCTGATGCTGGATGGGGATAGCTGTAGCCCATCCCGCCCCCCAGGCGACCGCGGGCTCAAAATTTTTTTCCCTCTCACAACCGTGTTAAACTAATTTTACAAAGTTTTAAACAAAAATATGCCGCAATTCTTCAGTCGTGCTATAACCCAAACGTGCAAGACAAAACGACGTTAAACGACGGTCTACTGTGTATATATATATATATATATATATATATATATATATATATATATATATATATATATATATATATATATATATATATATATACATACAATGTATATCGGCTAGGCGAAGAGCAACACCAATCCGAATGGCCTGTGGGTCGAGTGGAGTACCCAAAGAGGAATTGGGAACAGCTAAAAGAAAATCTCCTGAATGCGGTGCCTTCACCGCCAGGAGACGAGCTTTGTCCTTTCCTGAAGCGTTGGTGAGCATTGTGTTGGTGATTTTTTTCCATGATCGGTTTGTCCGAGTGGGACTGTTTGTGCTCTTTGGGAGGAGCTGGTCTACTGGAGCAGTGGGTAAGGGTGTCCCACCGCACGGCTGCTTCAATAACCTGGGGTCTTGAGCACCTACCGCACCTCTCAAGCGTTCAGGGACAATCTGCTTGACTAGTCCATTGGAAGCCAAACACGAAGGCAAAAATGCAGGTAAAGCTACGTGCACTGCTTTGTCGTGCCGAATAGGTAAAACTGCTCAATTAACAAGAACTCGTTTAAAATTAAATTCTTTCTAAAATTTTCTCTTATACGTTTAAAAATATATATATTTTTCATTTATGTTAACGTAAAAATTAATAATTTTGTACCTTAGAAAACTTACCTAAACTTATTATAAGAAGCGCAATACAGTATAGTCTTAATATATTTTAGATAAGTTTACAAGAATTTAATAGTAAACAAACACAATGAAATATATTTTTTCGTTAGGTTCAGAATGATTTTTGCGAAATTATTGCATACATAAATTTTCGCTTGCCTTATTCGGCAAGAAGAGTTGCTATTTAAGCCAAAATCCCAAGTTTTACCTATTCGGCACGACATGTGTGTGTGTATATATATATATATATATATATATATATATATATATATATATTATATATGCAAGGAAATCGCAAGAGCAGGCGAAATATACACAAACACTGATCTCTGGCCGAAGGAGACTCGAACCTTAGAACAAGGTACGCAGTGCTTTACCAGTCTACCCACACTGGACCATTACCTTGGAGTCCAGCTTGACTCCAAGGCATTGGCCCAGTGTGGGTAGATTGGTAAAGCACTGCGTACCTTGTTCCAAGGTTCGTAGGTTCGAGTCTCCTTCAGCCAGAGATCAGTGTTTATATATATATATATATATATATATTATATATATATATATATATATATATTGTGTGTGTGTATATGTGTGTTTCCTGTGCTTGTAACAGATATTACAGCCTTTTTGATTGCATTCCAGAAGTCAGGTGCTCTATTTGAAGAAAAGTAATTTCTAGTTCACTCTCGACATCGTCATTCTTACTATGAATTTTACCAGTGTCACTCCTGTCAATCACTGGCAAGATCCTTGAGACAATTATCTCAAGACAAATGACAGAGTTTTTTGACTACCACTCACTACTTTGTAACCGTTAATATGGCTTCAGGAAAGATTAGTCTGCTGCTGATCTGTTGTTAAACCTCTCCACTAAATGGCACCAGTCACTGGATGAATCCAAAGTCAGCTGTGTGCTTGCAAAACTGCAAGCACTGGGAATTGCAAGCTGTACACTGTCTCCTCAGTGATTACCTTCATGGTAGATCTCTAAGGGTAGTTCTCAGTGGAACAGAATCAGCAGGATGTCCTACTGGGGCAAGTGTTCCACAGGAAAGTGTGTTTGGGCCATTGTTATGGAACAACTTCAGTGACGTTCATCATCTCATCCCAGAATCCCATGCATATGCAGATGACCGTACTCTGACATTTACTTATTCACAAGAAGAAATGCCAGCTGCTCTAAGCTACATCAATCACCAGCTACGAGCTATATCAGCCTGGGGAAACCGATGGCAGGTAACATTTGCACCTGAGAAAACACAAATGATGATAGTCTCTAAGCACCATGATGGTAATGCCGGAGCAGTAGCAAGTATGAATGGGAGAGTGTTGGTACCCAGGGAAGAAGCTGATATACTTGGAGTGAAATTTGACTCAAAACTGACCATGAAGAACTACGTTGTAAATCTTGCAAACAAGGTAGCCAGGAAGCTTACAGCACTTCGACGTATCTCGCATTTGCTCGACAGTAGGGGTTGCAAGATTCTTCATGAGGCACAAGTACGCTCACATCTTGAGTATGCTTCACTTTCTTGGTTTGCCTGTCCCCCATCTCATCTGCGACTGCTTGACAGAGTAGAGAACAGAGCAAGGCGCTTCATCTCTCGCCTGGACCCATCCTGGATAGATTTGTCATCTCAGCAGAGCCTTCAGCACAGGAGGGATGTGGGCGGCCTTGCTGTTATGTACAAGGCCAACATTGTCAAGATACCACACTTGGCTTCACTTCGAGGACAGCGAGAAAAAAGCTTCTATACCACAAGACGGGCAGAAAGCAGCAGCTTCACTCTGGCTGTACCCTTCTCCAGAACTTCACTTCATCTGAGATCATTTATTCCCAGGATGACTCGAGTCTGAAACACATTCGTACAGCATTATGATGTCAACGACATAAAGTCAGTTGATCAAATGAAAATACTGGCCCACTGATGGCTCCAACAACATCCTGTTCCCTACTTGTATGTTTCATAACAATAAAAATGCTTTCAAATGAGCTGATTAGGTAACAGCTCTTATCTTGTCAATAAAGTTAGGAATCCTTAACTTGTCATTAGCTTGTCAATAAAGTTAGGGATCCTTATCCTAACCTTGTCAAACCCAGTGTAAAAAAATGTACGTATGTCTGAATGTGAATAATTGTGTGGAAGATCTCTGTGTTTCGATCAGTAGGCATACTCTATTGTTTTCTCCTTTGCCTTAACAAGATTGTTTAATGAGGAGGAATTAGTCCTTGCTAACCGCTGCACTTCCTGCACAGCTACTCCCAAGGTCTTCATGTATATTAATTAACTGGATAAGTATAACATGATTGTTGTTGTTGTAATGACTGGAGGTCACTGGCTCATTATCTGGGAGTTTAGTTGTTTCAGAGCATTGTTATAATATTTGCATTGTTTTTAGTTTATGACTGTTGGTGTTGATTGTATCTGTAAAATGTTAATATTTGTTGTGTTTGAATGTTAACTTTGTGTGTGTTTGGGAGTTATTATTATATAAGCTCTGTTTTAAAGTGCTAATTTGTGTGTCATTCAGAGCAAGACTTGGTGAAGGCTGGATACTCCGTCATCTAAATCTAACACAAACTAGTATATCTAACTATACTCACCTCCTCCTAGCTGAAGATTTTTTGTTTGGGAGTGAATTGCCTGGGGGACACGAGGGAGTCAGATCTGTGCTTAATAAAGTAGGGCAGATGAACAGTCTTTCACTATTATCACGGCACTTTAAGGCACTCCCATCCCTTGCTCTTAGAGTGTCTACTGCGTGGTGCCTTGACGCAGTGTCTGTGTGACGTAAATATTGTGCTTGGCAGGTGTGGTGAGGGTCGTGTTCTGTCAGCCTTGAAAACGACCTGTGACGACGAGAACGAGTGTCTCTGGGAGCCTTGTCTCAACGGTGGTACCTGTTACAATAAACATTCAGGTGAGACAACAGTGGTAGTACCTGTTACAACAAACATTCAGGTGGTACCTGCTACAAATTAATACTTTATTTTACCAGAACATAAAAAGGAAATATCACAAGTGTAAATCCTTCAGAAAACCAACATTTTGTAACCCGTATTTTGCAACCCACATATATCTATGCTGAGGAGGGTCCCAGAGCCGTAACTGAAACATTCACAACTATGCTACTTGCCTATTTTCAAAATGTGGGTTTTCTGAATGGTGGTAATTCTACGTATCTCTTACTGCTTCCAGGAGTCCAAAACCTAGATAAACAGTCACAAGAATATTTACTGCCCATAGGAAAACAGTTAACTAAAGATATGCAGGTAGAGTTATTCTATGTATAGGAAAGTTTAGCAATGTTAGATTAATTTGCTAGGGGTAGTTCGGGTGCATTTGCTAGGGGTAGTTCGGGTGCAAAATTTTAAACTGGCATATTGAAAATCTACAGACTTTTAGTTAGCATTTTATTTCTACGAAAGGGAGTGAATCTTCAGGTTTCCCGTAACTAATCTTGTTCGCAATTTCCGTGACAATGAATTTCCCAATTATCAAACATTGTTTATCACAGGAAACTACTGATTTAAATTTATACATGGTTAAAAACTGCCCGCTTGGCTTCTACCGTGGTATTTATTGTTTACTGGGAGGACTGGTCATCCAGCAGAAGGTGTAATTCTAAAACGCAAAAAGATTTCTTTTAGCGGTTCATCGTATGACCCAGTGTCGGAAGATAAAATTTCGCGTTTCTGCAGATAAGCAAAATTCTTTGTTCGCTTAGGTGGTCATCAGGACATCATTCTGCTTTCTGTTGCAGCTGGCTACATGTGCGCTTGCCCGAGTGGGTTCAGCGGGCAACACTGCCACCTACCAGACGTGGGTGAGACTTCACTAAAACTCTCCCTCGGAGCATTGGTTGCAATACTTGTGTGGTGCACATTTCTCCTGCGTGAGTAATTATTTTCATGTGTATGAAATATATACTAAGAAAAGTATTCGTCACACCTAACCAGCATTTACTAGAGAAAACTCATAACGATGTTTCGGTCCTGGAATGACCGAAACAGGTCCAGGACGGACCGAAGCATAGTCACAAGTTTCCTCTCCTAGGTGCGGGTTATTTGTGAATTGTTCCAGCCACGATATTGTGACTTTTATTCTTCGACGTATTTTATAAATTTCACGTGGAAACCTGGTGTTATAGTATGTAAGTGAAAATGCAAATGTTACAGTGAAACCCATTAGCAGAAAATTTAGATAATAGCCCAAGGATGGTGAGCAGTGAATTTGAATCTCTGGTGAGAACACTGGCTTAGTTTTTATATATATGTGCCGAATAGGTAAAATTGGTCAATTAGCAAGAACTCATTTAAAATTAAGTCCTTTCTAAAATTTTCTCTTGTATGATTAAAGATATATTTTTTCATTTATGTTAATGTAAATAATTTTGTACCAAAAAACCCTAGAAAACTTATCTAACCTTATAACAAGGGCAGTTTAATTTAGCCTAATCCAACTAAATATGTTTTGGGTAAGTTTACAATAATTTAATAAACAAACACAATGAAATATATTTTTCTTGTTAGGTTCAGAATGATTTTTGCGAAGTTATTGTATACACAAATTGTTGCCAAGAAGTGCGTTGCTATTTAAGCCAAAATCGCAAGTTTTATCTATGCGACACGACATACATTATATATATATATATATATATATATATATATATATATATATATATATATATATTATATATATATATATATATAATATATATATATATATAATGTCGTGCCGAATAGGCAGAACTTGCTATCTTGGCTTAAATAGCAACGTTCATCTTGCCATATAGGACAAGTGAAAATTTGTGTATGCAATAATTTCGCCAAAATCATTCTGAACGTAACGAAAAAAATATATTTCACTGTGTTTGTTTAGTATAAAATTATTGTAAACAAATTTAAAATATATTTAGTTGGGTTAGGCTAAAATAAATTGCTCTTGTTATAATAAGGTTAGGTAAGTTTTCTAAGATTCTTTTGGTGCAAAATTAAAATTTTACAATAATGAAAAAAATATATCTTTAAACGTATAAGAGAAAATTTTAGAAAGGACTTAATTTTAAATGAGTTCTTGCTAATTGACCAGTTTTACATATTCGGCACGACATATATATATATATATATATATATATATATATATTATATATATATATATATATATATATATATATATATAAATAGGGTCAGTATCACTCATTGCACTGGCAGAGCATAATCCATGCACCGAGAGGTTATTATCTTTGTGTATCCCCACAAGAGAAGAGCATATTCCATGGAACTGGCTTTACCCACCCTTTCTTGAGATCTGCCCTGATGCGATCCTACTTGCCTCCCATTCTCCAGGTGCTGTAGCACTTGTCGCCGTTGCCCAGCGGTGAGAGTAGCCACTCTCATTGCTGAGGTCCAGGTAATAAACCCTGGAGATTAACATAAAAAAACGTTGTATAGCCCTTGTGGCTTAGCGCTTCTTTTTGATTATAATAATAATCCAGGTACTGTATGATTCCTATGGGTTTAACGCTTCCCCATGAAAATAATAATAGTTAGGAATTAAATTATCCTTGGCTGGTAGTGTACAGGTTACACACGCCTTTAATTACCCTCTTATAGTCGACAGGCTTTAATTCCAATTACCCTACCAACCAACGGCGATACAGAGTATATACACCGTGAGTTTTCTTTAATCCATATTCTAAGGTTTGAAGTATTTTTGACCGGTACTGAGCACATAAAATACAACCTTGCCGACTCTCACACTCGATATTCTTCATGCCTCAACAACGTGAGCGGCGGTAGGGTGGTAAAAACACTTCGTTCTTGCCCTTGCAGTACTGATCTGCGCCTTTCTGCTGCACCAACACAACAGACGCTCGGCTCTACGCAGGGGCATGGCAGACGTGAAGGAGAGCACCATGAATTGTAAAGAGGAGTCGGCAGGTCCCTGCAACCACACTCCCAGCTTGCTGGAGCTTCAGCTGCTGAAGCCTCCTAAGGCCAACGGCCAGCCAGCCTGCATAAAACAACCCAACATCGCAGGTAATGCCTAAAATACACCCAGGAGTATGTAGAAGTAGGACACAGTGTCACATGTTCGTTTTTTTTCCCTAAGTGGGGTGGATCCCTAGCACGGGTACGCCAGCTGCTGCTTCAAACTTCACAGCTCAGCATGTAAGTACCACCCACGTCAGCATGGATTTTTTCTCAACAATTGAAGCACTAACATCCGCATCAACATGTATTTTTCCTGACAATTAAAGCACTAAAACCCGCGTCAGGATGTATTTTTCCTGACGAATAAAACACCAGAACTACCAAGTAGGGCCAAATAGTCTTTATAACAAGACTCTGGAATAAAGGTCGCGTCATTTTTTGTATAACGAAAAGATTTATTAGTTTGACAAGTACTGTATGGAGAGTGAACTCTGGGTATTACTTTACCGATGATAACCATTTAATATATAACATGTAAAAATCGCGAACAAGTGACACAAGATGCAAAACAACCAGAGTGGGAGTTGAATGATAGCTCTAGGACCTTCATGTTGCAATCAACACATGAGGAACTTACATTGTTGCAGAAAAGAGGATGAATTCCAAACAACAGTGGTCAGAGGAGGCGAGTGCAGACACGCTTCGTCTGAACGTATTTACTTCTAATTCATCCTCTTTTCTGCAACATTGCAAGCTCCTCATGATGTGTTGATCGCAACACGACAGACCTAGAGCTATCACTCAACTCCCACCGTGGTTGTTTTCCATATATGTAAAATATATACAATTACAGCCTTAGTTTTCACTTTTTATCTTTGAAAATAATTAACATTTTATTTTGTTTTAAATATGAGCCTCTGTATTTATTTAGAGGCGGCAACGTTTTATCTGGATATTTACTTCAGTTGAGCGAGCGAGCCAGCGAGCGTCGGGGCAACAGAAAAATACTTTTAACACCAGGCAATGACTACAGATCACCCAGTTTATATACAGCCAGAGGAGTATATTTCACTGTGAATATATTCAGAGTTTACTTTCATCTTTAACTGTAAGAGATGGAAGTTTACTGATTGTTACAATGTAGTTTGAGACGCTCATGATTTTGACAGTTAATAAGCCTATTAAATTATCTACTATTTAAACATCTCTATATAGGATATATACACTGAGAAGTGTATATATTTTATTATATATCTACTTTATTTTAATCCCTCTTTTAAAGATTGGAATATTTTTTTGGTTAGACAAATTTCAGGTTTAATGTTCTACCTGAACACAACAGACTTTAATACAAATAAACTACGTATAAGATTCAGGCAAGAGGATTATTTATATACAGAGTGCTGGAGCTATGCCACTCAGAGCTCTGTAAAGATTCTCACACCCCAGCACCAAACTATGTGGAGAGGTGGGCAGGTGAAGGCAGTCGTTCTCAGCACATAACCTCGCTGTTGACTCTAAGATCTTATGTTATCTTTCATTCCCAGGTATTTCACCTTGTATTACTGTTATGAATTAAACCCGTATGGGTCATTTTTCTCAAGTGATAGAGGCTTGATCCTTCGTCGCCAGACAGAAACCCTACGCCAGCAGCCAGGCTTCCCATGTACTAGACACACATTAAATATTTAAAAAAATTCAGCCCAAATATACATTAAAATGAATCAAGATACGGGTTTGCTCTGGCACAGACGTGGATGTGCTGCAAGTAGACGCCTCCTCCGTAGCCAGTATCACCAAGACCCACAAGCAGGATGGAACCCAGTTTTCGATGGACGGGAGTCACCGGCGAGCGGGTAGTATGGGCGGCAGCGAAAGCATGGGCGGCAGCGACAGGAGAGGAAGCAGCAAGAACGGCAGCTGTAGAGGAGGGCTGGGTAACTCTCCTGTCAGCGACGACCTGAGAAACTACGCTTACGAAGGTGAAGGATCTTCTCCTGGATCACTTTCTTCTTGTAAGTCCCGCAGGAGGAGAGGAAGGGAAAAAAATGTTGCTAGTTTTTTTCCTAAAGTGTAGAAGGGAAGGAAGGGAGGGCAGAAGATAGGGATGTTTCCCCTGTTCTCTCTCCTGCAGGTCTAACCAGGAGGGAACCATAAGTGTAGAAGGGAAGGAATATTCATTATTATTATTTTTATTATTAGTAGTAGTAGTATCATTATAATTATCCGCGTGGGTCATACAGCGTAAGGTGTAGTAGAGGCTCAGGTCTCCGTACCCTAGACAAACGCGTAAAAGACAGGTACCTTTCCCTTGTTCTCTCTCCTGCAGGCCTAACCAGAAAAGAATCATAACAAGGTACTGACTATTAAATTAACTAGGTATGTATCGATGTGGGTGAGAGTGAGGAAGGTGCCCGGGGTTTGTGTCCCTTACTACAGTATCTCATGAAAGAGGAAAATGGTAGATATAAATTCTAGAATCGTTTCCCTTCCTCTTTTTTTCCAGTCTTTTCAATGTGTGTGTGTGTGTGTGTGTGTTGTGTGTGTGTGTGTGTGTGTGTGTGTGTGTGTGTGTGTGTGTGTGTGTGTGTGTGTGTGTGTGTAAAGAGTGTAGGTGTATTTTGGAGAAGTACAGAAATGGTATGTGGGGCAGCGTGTAGGAAAGTTATGAGGGCGTAGTAGGAGTGTAGGATGGAATTGTTGGTGCGTGGGTGTTGCAAGCATATAGGAGGGAGTTTTAAGGGTGATGGAGAGGTATGGGAGGGACTTCTAAGTGTATGAGAGCAAGTTTTATGGACGTTTCAACGAGTTTTTGAATGTGACAATTTAAATTGAGAAATATTAGACTAGATAAGCAGCAGGTTCTGGAGCTGGAGGCTAACTCTCCCCTCAAACAGTTACGAAGCGTGGCCCAGAAGCTGGATCTCAATCCCTGCACATACAAGCTACACCTTATTCGTAGACGCACAAGCTGGAGCTTAAAAATTCACGAACAAAACTAGGTTATCAGCAGACCCAGAAGCTGGAATTCAACCCTTTATACTGGTATAACCTAGCTCTCATCTCTTTAAACAGCTTAAAGCTGGAGTTCAACTTTTTCAAACAACTATATAAGTTCCACATGAGCTGGACGTAAACACGGTAGCTAAACATCAGGACTCAGAACTGGGACTCTGCGCGCTCTCGAACCCAGCGAGGTTAGTAGCAGGCTCCAGAGCTGGAGTTCAGTCTCCTAAATGTCTAGTTGGAGGCAATTCAACCACAATCACAGTTATTATAAAAAAAAGTAAGCCCAGGAGCTGTACCTTAACCTCATCGAGCAGCTAGGCAGTAGCAGATCCTCTTATATTTTTACTGTAAATTTTACAATAAATTGAAAATTCGTTCTTCAGATATCGATAGTATTAGCACTTAATATATATAATTAATAAAAGTAATTTAAAGGTGTACTAAATGGGCAGTGTTTCCTCAAAAAAAAAACAATTTTAGAAAGTGCAATAACGAGTCACTTTCCTTGCAACTTCAGGTCTTGAGACGTGCAGCGGCAGCACCAAACTTCTGGGAGGGTTTCGTGAGGTGGCCCAAATACTGGAGTCGTGGGACCCTACTGGTTCCCATTCCATCCAATCACCGGTCAACAAAGGCAAAACAAACACCTCTCCACCAATCACAACAATTCGCTGTGACATCCACAAGTCCAGTGGTCAGAACGGAGACATGACTACACCCGCAGTGTACCCAGACCCACTTCCTGCACCAATCAGCGACAGGCTTACAAACACAATACTCCCAGAATCCCTGGATATAACAATCCCCATGCCCATTCCCGAGCCACCACGTGCCTTCAAGACCAAATAAGTGACTTAGTTCACATATAAAATTACCAAAATATCCTTAAGTGTATACAGCTACTTACATTTTTCCTTACCATATCATACCAATAATAATTTCAACGTGCTAAGATTAATATAAGATTTATTTATAAACAGCGTAAACTGTCAAATTATTTTGTCCAGATAATCATTTTACAGATTTATCTTTTTCTTCTCTTCTTAATCACTTTCTCTAAACAGGATTCGTGTATTTATTTTAGCACATTGTGTACAGTAGTTGGGTTGAAGAATTAGACACATGTGCAACGTCTGGGTATCTTTATTGTGGACGTTTCACCATCCAGTAACTTTATACAAATTCAAGGACATAATGGGAAGACTATAGAACTTTATGCAAAAGAGCACCGGAGGGACTGATTACCTGTCTTTTGTATATAGTTCTATTGCCTTCCCATTATGTCCTTGATTTTGTGTTGATAAAACCACCAGAGGGTGAAACGTCTATAATACCCAAATGTTGCACATGTGTCTAATCCTTCATCTTGTTGGTATTGTATACCATACATTTACAGTAGTTGGGTTGTGTGATTAAAAATGATCTTCACCAAGAATTCCACCGCTGTAAACCTGCTTAGAACAAGTCATTAGAGTGAAAGCCTCGTCAGGGAGGCTTCAGGTACATAATAAGACTTTGTGTGAGATGAAAGTTTTTTGCGTCCAATTTTCGTTTTTGATTTTTAGAATACCAGTCGATTAAAAAATAATAAATGTTGCATTACGTTGAATAATGTTTATACATATGAGCAAGAAAGCTAGAAACAAAGTCAAAAGTCACACCGGAAGAAGCTGACCTGATCCTCGTCCCAAGTCTTGTACTGATGCAGCAACGACCATGTGAAGAGGTACACTGGACACTGCGCCTCACTGTACTTGTTAATCGCCATGGGCCTGGTTAGAGACGTGCAGGGCCAGCTTGATGGTGGCGAAGGGCTCTTGGTCCGTAGAACCGGAGACACCCTTTCCTTCCTGGGATTAAACCTGATTAACTCTCATTCCCTAGACTCTGTTTAACCTTTACGGATGTAAGCCTTACCCGCGAACACTACAATAATAAGTTAGGCAGGCACTCCCTAGCAGTCTTGCAACTAGCTCTCCTGATCACAGTCAACCCTCTGTAAAACAAACTAAATTTTACCATAACGTGAATGTAACAATCTGAAAATTAAGTACGTGATTTGTTTTTCTCATTATATGTGTTCCTTGTTCTTCTGATAATCATAAATTCTATGCAGGAGACACCATATTAGTCCTGCGCTATATATATATATATATATATATATATATATATATATATAATATATTATATATATATGTCGTGCCGAATAGGCAGAACTTGCGATCTTGGCTTAAATAGCAACGCTCATCTTGCCATATAGGACAAGTGAAAATTTGTGTATGCAATAATTTCGCCTAAATCATTCTGAATCTAACGAAAAAAATATATTTGATTGTGTTTGTTTAGTACTAAATTGTTGTAAACGTATTTAAAATATATTTAGTTGAGTTAGGCTAAAATAAATTGTTCTTGTTATAATAAGGTTAGGTAAGTTTTCTAAGATTCTTTTGGTGCAAAATTAATTTTTTTTACATTAACATTAATGAAAAAAATATATCTTTAAACGTATAAGAGAAAATTTCACAAAGGACTTAATTTTAAATGAGTTCTTGCTAACTGACCAGTTTTTACATATTCGGCACGACATTATATTATATATTATATTTATATATATATATATATATATATATATTATATATATATATATATATATATATATATATATATATATATATATATTATATATATATTATATATATATATATATATAATTATATATATGATGTCATGCCGAATAGGTAAAACTTGCGATTTTGGCTTAAATAGCAACGTTCTTCCTGCCGAATAAGGGAAGCGAAAATTTGTGTATGCAATACTTTCGCAAAAATCATTCTGAACCTAACGAAAAAATATATTTCATTGTGTTTCTTTATTATTAAATTATTGTAAACTTATCTGAAACATATTTAGTTGGATCAGACTAAATTAAATTGCGCTTGTTATAATAAAGTTAGGTAAGTTTTCTAATGTTCTTTTGGTACAAAATCACTAATTTTTACATTAACATGAAAAAAAAATTTAAACGTATAAGAGAAAATTTTAGAAAGAACTTAATTTTAAATGAGTTCTTGCTAATTGACCAATTTTACCTATTCGGCACGACATTTATATATATACAAAATACCACTTAAGTTGTAGCTGCAGGTCAGTTATAAAAATAACTAATTTCCAGAAGAATTCGTATATTTGCATCATGAGGAGACTAAAGAACTGTGTTCTACATTCCTCTGATGATGTAAGTACCCTGTATGAAAGAGCATGAGAAATATTCATATTTTTCGTGTGGTGACTTGCGGATGAATATTTAATTACACAGAAACACAAAGGTATGCGCATACAAACATTTGTAACATGGTTTCCAGAGAAGTTGACCAGAGTGTTAGTCAAAGCAACAGTGGTATGCCATAAGAGCTTTGGTAAAGTGCTGATTCAACAGTGTAAAATTCTTGACCACCTGCTGCTGGAGGTCGGAGAAGAGGTGTTGGTCTGGCCTCTGACGGTAGCGACTTTGTATTTTTGTAAAATTTATATGACAAATAAATCATGATGTTGTTACCGCCGCCTTCATTATCCCCTTATTGATGTGTTATGTGATAAAACTCGTCTTAATGTAATTTCCGGCATATAAGGCGCACGATAGAAATATCATAATAGTAAATCAGTAATCATATTCAAGAGTTAATTATCCTCTTACTTTACGCTAAAGCCTTCCCGTGACCTATCCTTGAGCATATAAGGCGCAGGCTGATTTTCCAGGACTTTGTGAGGAAAAAGGAGCGCCTTATACGCCGGAAAATACAATATACATGGCAATGCCTTTGTTTGAATTAGTGAAGTAATCAAAGAAGTTCTCCAACAGTTTACACTGGCAGGGTGACCATGTCACTCTCCAACAGTTTACACTGGCAGGGTGACCATGTCACTCTCCAACAGTTTACACTGGTAGGGTGACCATGTCACTCTCCAACAGTTTACACTGGTAGGGTGACCATGTAACTCTCCAACAGTTTACACTGGCAGGGTGACCATGTCACTCTCCAGCAGTTTACACTGGCAGGGTGACCATGTCACTCTCCAACAGTTTACACTGGCAGGGTGACCATGTCACTCTCCAGCAGTTTACACTGGTAGGGTGACCATGTAACTCTCCAGCAGTTTACACTGGCAGGGTGACCATGTCACTCTCCAACAGTTTACACTGGCAGGGTGACCATGTCACTCTCCAACAGTTTACACTGGTAGGGTGACCATGTAACTCTCCAGCAGTTTACACTGGTAGGGTGACCATGTAACTCTCCAGCATTTTACACTGGCAGGGTGACCATGTAACTCTCCAGCAGTTTACACTGGCAGGGTGACCATGTAACTCTCCAACAGTTTACACTGGCAGGGTGACCATGTAACTCTCCAGCAGTTTACACTGGCAGGGTAACCATGTAACTCTCCAACAGTTTACACTGGCAGGGTGACCATGTCACTCTCCAACAGTTTACACTGGTAGGGTGACCATGTAACTCTCCAGCAGTTTACACTGGCAGGGTGACCATGTAACTCTCCAACAGTTTACACTGGTAGGGTGACCATGTAACTCTCCAGCAGTTTACACTGTAAGGTGACCATGTAACTCTCCAGCAGTTTACACTGGCAGGGTGACCATGTAACTCTCCAGCAGTTTACACTGGTAAGGTGACCATGTAACTCTCCAGCAGTTTACACTGGTAGGGTGACCATGTAACTCTCCAGCAGTTTACACTGGCAGGGTGACCATGTAACTCTCCAGCAGTTTACACTGGCAGGGTGACCATGTAACTCTCCAATAGTTTACACTGGCAGGGTAACCATGTAACTCTCCAGCAGTTTACACTGGCAGGGTGACCATGTAACTCTCCACCAGTTTACACTGGCAGGGTGACCATGTAACTCTCCACCAGTTTACACCGGCAGGGTGACCATGTCACTCTCCAACAGTTTACGCTGGTAGGGTGAACATGTAACTCTCCAGCAGTTTACACTGGTAGGGTGACCATGTAACTCTCCAGCAGTTTACACTGGTAGGGTGACCATGTAACTCTCCAGCAGTTTACACTGGCAGGGTGACCATGTAACTCTCCAGCAGTTTACACTGGCAGGGTGACCATGTAACTCTCCAACAGTTTACACTGGCAGGGTGACCATGTCACTCTCCAACAGTTTACACTGGCAGGGTGACCATGTAACTCTCCAACAGTTTACACTGGCAGGGTGACCATGTCACTCTTCAACAGTTTACACTGGCAGGGTGACCATGTAACTCTCCAATAGTTTACACTGGCAGGGTGACCATGTAACTCTCCAACAGTTTACACTGGCAGGGTGACCATGTAACTCTCCAACAGTTTACACTGGCAGGGTGACCATGTAACTCTCCAATAGTTTACACTGGCAGGGTGACCATGTAACTCTCCAACAGTTTACACTGGCAGGGTGACCATGTAACTCTCCAACAGTTTACACTGGCAGGGTGACCATGTAACTCTCCAGCAGTTTACACTGGCAGGGTGACCATGTAACTCTCCACCAGTTTACACTGGCAGGGTGACCATGTAACTCTCCACCAGTTTACACCGGCAGGGTGACCATGTCACTCTCCAACAGTTTATACTGGCAGGTTGACCATGTAACTCTCCAACAGTTTACACTGGCAGGGTGACCATGTAACTCTCCAACAGTTGACACTGGCAGGGTGACCATGTCACTCTCCAACAGTTTACACCGGCAGGGTGACCATGTAACTCTCCAACAGTTTACACCGGCAGGGTGACCATGTAACTCTCCAGCAGTTTACACTGGCAGGGTGACCATGTAACTCTCCACCAGTTTACTCCGGCAGGGTGACCATGTAACTCTCCAGCAGTTTACACCGGCAGGGTGTTTACTCCTGTCGCTGATGACGGATCCAGTGTGAAGAAATCTTTAGCACAGGAGAGGCAACTCTCACATTACGTGAAGCTCTAAAACGTGTGGGTAATTCAACACAAGAAGTAGCGGAAGCTCGATCCTCTCGATAAGTATGTTTTAATTATCACCTTCAGGTGGTGGTGGGGCTGTTGGTTTGTGCCCTTCCGTGTAGGAGGAAGCCCTCTTCTCTGGGAAGGGGTGCCACTCCCATCAGGCTGACTAAGAATCCAACATCTTTCGGCACAAATGGTGGGGATATTTCCCTTTTCGACTAAATTTGCTCACGCTCCTGACCGATGACAAAGAACGTTTTATGAACCTTTAAAAATTAATGGTCGTAGTTATAACCCTGGGTGGGAGGAAGCGTTGTTATATGACTGACTCGGGAATGCAGTGTAGACCCTGGACATGACCACTCATAATTTCATAGAAATCATTATGGCGACAATGCAATAAGACAAGGAAGTGAAAATAGATTAATTTAGTCATAAAAGCTAATGCATATACATACATCTATGTCACATAGATGAACTTGGCTTTGTTGATCAGCAGCCATAGTTGACACCAGCAGGATGCTATCCTTGTGGTGCACCCCACCAGAAGTGTACCCCACCAGGTGTACCCCACTAGGAAGTGTACCCCGCCAGGAAGTGTACCCCACCAGGTGTACCCCACTAGGAAGTGTACCCCGCCAGGAAGTGTACCCCACCAGGTGTACCCCACTAGGAAGTGTACCCCACCAGGTGTACCCAATCAGGAAGTGTATTGTCCTCTTCGCTTCCGGGCCGAGTGGACGTGCTGCGCAGGCGCTCCCGATTCAGTTGATTTTCTGCGCAGTTTACCTGTTTTGAGCAATCAAAATGGCGGACAGACATGGACGCAGGGTGAATACTGTCTGTGTGGTGCTGGTACGTGGTGCCCTGAGTAGTTCTACAATGCAGGTGCTGCTGCCAAGTATTATCCGCGATGTATATGGCATACCAAACGAAGAGTTGTATGGTGTAGCAGTGAATGGAGTGTACAGGATCTTCATCAAGTTCAAGAGTGCTGGGTTTTACGCCAGCATAGTCGACGCGTTTCAAGAAAAGAGGATGACCGTTAATTCTGCATGTGGAGGTCTGCCTACATGACGTATCAAGCTATGTAACGTGGGTAAAGGTGAGAAATGTCCCCTTTGAGGCCTTGGAATATGATGTTGTGGAGGTATTCCGTAGGTATGGCAAGATCCATTCGGCACAG